GAGGCCGAGGAGGGGGCCGGGGTAGGGCTCGGCGGGAGAGGCCAGAGGGGGCCGGGGCGGGGGTCGGGAGCGGGCTGGGGGCCCTACGGGGTCGAAGGTCTGAGCAGGTGGCAGAACCGGGGCCTTGTGGATTTGCACTGTCAACTGCCCCTTTCCTCCTGGCCGGAGCAGAGTCCTGACCCCACAGCGCTCGGGCGCTGTAATTCGGTGTTTATTCTTAAAGGGAGCGCCTTTCGAGCGAAGGCTACAAGGTTCAGAAGTGGTCGGCAACCACAGCAGTGGCAGTTACCTGAAGCACCGCACTCGTGTCCCTGTGAAGAGAACGATTTTTATGACCACCGCTTCAGAGCAGAAGCTGAGCTGGTGAGGACGCGAACTGCTTGCTTGGGAAGCAAGTGTTCCTCGGTTTCAGAGTTGGGAGGTTTGTGTGTTGAGTGTTTCTCTGGAGTTGTTGCTGTTCCCAGATCGCTGTCCGTGCTGGGAGCGGTACTGGTGTGATTTGGGGTACTACGGGGATGGAGAGAGAGGGGCCTCGTTTGTCCGAGGTTACCTGGAGTTGTTGTCTGGGAACAGCAGAGTGGCCTGAGGGAATTACGCACCTTGCCCGGAGCTACAGGATTTGGGCATTTGTAGGACGAATGACATCGCTTGGTTTGTCTCCCGTGCCGGCTTCCTCCTCTGGTGCTGAGTGTGGGCACCCTCCTAGCACCCAAGGACTTGGTCTTGTGCCCGTGCTCTCTCCCTGGGCGATCTTTGCCCAACTCGTGGCTTTCAATAGGTACCCTTGTCGGGTGGCTGTTTCCCTAATTAATGTTTCCAGCGCTGGGCTGGGGACCTATAATCCAGGTGCCTGCTTGACTTCTTCATCTGCGTGTCTGATAGTCAGCCCAAACTTGCTCTGCTCCTCAAACCTGTCCTGTTTCTTTTTGTTTGTGGCCCGGTCCTCCAAGGTCTCAAGCCTGAAAGCTTCGGTCCGGCCTCGAGCGTTCTGGTCCTTTATCCCTCTGCATTCAGGCCGGCAGCACGGCCGTTGACTTGCGCCCACAGAATCTTCACCTGCTGTGTCTCTGACTCTCCTGCCGCTGCTCTCGTTTGATGGCTTCTCGCTGGCTTTCCTGCTCGGCTTTTGCTGCCCCACTTTCTCTGTTCTTTAATTTAAAAACATTTTTTTAGTTTACTTTTTTATTTTAGAGATTGGGAGTGTATGAGCAGGGGAGAGGGGCAGAGGAAGAGACAGAATCTGGGGCTCGATCCCATGATCCTGGGATCATGACCTGAGCCAAAATCAGGAGTTGGACCCTCACCCGACTGAGCCACCCAGGTGCCTTTGTTTTTTGATCTTTTAACTTAATGAAGCGATTTAGCATGTCCTTGTCTGGCGTAAAGCGGTACCCGTGATGTATGGATTACTTACGACGACAGTGGTGGGCTCGCCATCTTAAGAGCCCAACTGGTGCCCCCAGGGCTGGCACCTCTCTGCCCTCCTTCCCATGGTCACCGCCTCCTGAGTTTCACGTCTTTACTCAAAACAAGAAAACGCTTTGCCGAATTTGTATTTGTTGCTAAAGCACGTGTCACGCGATTTGTGTTGTTTTTGTTCTTTGTAAAACTGTCTGCCACGCTTGGGTCTTGCTTTATTCGTCCAACTGGTTTCTGAGAGTCCTCCCTGTGGGTGTGTTCATGTTTTAATTGTTCTAGTAAGTTCTGTTACGCGATCATAAGCCTTTCTCAGCAATCCTAAAATCCAGATAGCTCCGAAAATCAGAAATTTTTTGTTTTTAACCTATTTGATGGCAAAATCTGCTCCGGTGAAAGCTTTTCCATCTCCATTCCACCCAGTGTGGCTGCCCAGACGTTTCCCCAAAAAAGTCGTATTTAATTGTGGGGTGTCACCCCAGACTGCAGTGTGCGTGTCACGTGACATATGCTAAGTCGTGCTGTGTAGTTCTGGGTACAGTCGGCAAGATTTTAACTTTCGGAACGGATCTGCCCAAGGGTTTTGGGCCTGGGATTGTGGTTCCCTGCTGCTTTTGAATGAACATCCAGGTGGGTGGCTTCCTGATTTTTGCCATCTTGAAAAGCGTTTCTGTGAGCAGGCTTGTCCGTGTCGGGTGTGCGGTGGTGAGTGTGGAGGACCTCAGTCTAGTGATAGAATCCCCGGGCCGTGAGGAGCGCGTGTGGTCCGCCCCGCAGAGAATGCCGGGTCTGTTTGCGTTTCCAGTCTGCTCTCACAGCAGCATCAAAGAGCTGGAGGGAGCTCCATGTCTCTGTGGACACTTGGTATGGTCAGAGTTCTTAATTTTGGTAGGTCTGGGGAGTGTCTCATCGTGGGCTTCTCTCTTGGGCACGTGTGTCATCGCGTTGAATATTTAGCTTATGTCCCTCGCGGTTGCCCTTCATGCTTAGAAGAGGGTTGATCTAAACTCCTCCTTTATCCGGCGAGGCCTTACTTGGTACGACCCACCCCGCGACTTGACCTGTCCATTCTGAGACTCTGGGCTCTTCCTCGCACCAATCCTATCTTCTAAATATACTAGCCTTCTTTCTGATCCCTATATCTGCATTTGGTGCCAGGCGCTTTGAATTTGCCGTTTCCCAGATAAAGTATCTTTCCACCATCTCCTTATTCCTTCGCGCTGCGTCGCCCTGCTTCACTCTGAAATGATTACGATTCTTAACGGAATTCTTAACATCCTTTTTTTTTAATTGAGGTACAGTAGAGACCCAGTGTTTCTGGGTGCAACATGGGTATCTGATGACCCTGTAGGTTTCTCTGTGCTCACAAGTCTGGCTGTCATCTGTTACTACACAGCCCTATGAGGGACCATTGAGCGTGTTCTCTGTAATTCATTCCCGTGATCTTTGCTAATTTTTAAAATACTGTTTTCCTGTAGAAAATAAGTCAGAATGAGTTATGCAGAAAAACCCGATGAAATCACGAAAGATGAGTGGATGGAAAAACTCAATAACTTGCACGTCCAGCGAGCAGACATGAACCGCCTCATCATGAACTACCTGGTCACAGGTAACGGCTGGCCATAAGGGTGCTACCTCTTGAATGTAAATCTCCCTTTTGGTATGTATAGGTAGAATTTTACATTGGACTTCCTTGGTAGAATTGTGTTTGGGTGTAATAAAAACACACTGCTAATTTTCCTAAATTTGTGAATTGCCGTATCAAAGGTGACCTGTTCCAGAGGTGAGGTTGTTATGCCAGGTATCTGAGCTCTAAAGCAAAAACCTGTTTCTTGACCTTTAATGTTTTTGCAGCTTATCAAGTGACTAAAGAATGTTCTGGAGTACGTTTAAACCCCAAGTAATTGATCTCTTTTGGCAAGTCTGAGAAATTATACTGGGCTGTTTCTAGAAGGTGTGCCTAGCTCAGAGGAGAAAGGGGGAAGGGCAGAAGCGGATGGAGGGTAGCAAAAGGGGTCTGTAACTATAGTCCTCCTTGATCCTGGGAAAGGAGAGGGTAATTTTGTCCATGGTTGGAAAACAGCGATGTTTCAGAAAGGTCTGAGTCTCCTTCCGTTGTTCACGGTGCCTCGTCCCCCAAATCAGTCTTGAGCGAGACTTCTCTGGGAAGGTGTTGAGGAAGTGTCTGCCTGTAGTGGGGGTGGGTGGCCACACATGCTGCTTAGATGCTGGTGAGAACTGTCCACTCACAAGGAGGCAGGAGGGTCAGGCCTCTGCAGGCTGTGGGGGCGCAGTCGGCGTGCGCAGCCGTGCCTGCGCACGTCTGGTTTCACCTCTGCCTGGGGTCGCAGCCTTCCCGGGGGAGCCCATAGTGCACTGGGCTTCCCGGCATGCACTCTTGGCCCTGGCTGGGGGGTGAACGGCGTCTCGGGTGGGATGGGAAGGAGTGGCGTACGTGGTTTTCATTTTCTGTGTGGGGCACGGCTAGTGAATCAGAGATGTAAATGCCAAGTCCCTAAGGCGGTGCGGGTCACGTTGAAGGTTATTGGTCTGAGCTGGATGGGCTTTCTAGGGATAAAAATGCTTTGCGTTAGTGTCTTGCTAGCTTCCTGAGCACTGAAGATGGTTTTCATTTTCAGAGGGCTTTAAGGAAGCAGCAGAGAAGTTTCGAATGGAATCTGGGATTGAACCTAGCGTGGATCTGGAAACACTTGACGAGCGGATCAAAATCCGTGAGATGATCCTGAAAGGCCAGATCCAGGAGGCTATCGCGTTGATCAACAGCCTCCATCCGGAGCTCCTGGACACCAACCGGTATCTCTACTTCCACCTGCAAGTGAGTTTCAGTTGAGAGGCGTCTGGTTTGTGGACACTCGATGAGGTTACGTGTGCTCGTTTCAGAAGTAACGCGGCTAATTTGCGTTAACAGAACGTTGTTTTAGTTTACGTGGGGAAGGGGCTTGGGTTAGCCGTTGTCTCGTGTGTTCCAGGAGCTGTTTCTTGCTTTAGGAGCGTTAATGCCATGATTTAGGGCCGCTAGAAGTTGTCACGTAAGACGTCCTTTGGCTAGAGGCTAGAGCGCGTCACCGGGTGTGCCTGTCTGGGCGCGGGTGGGTAAGCCTGTCTGCCTTTGCCGGCCCAGCAACAGCACCTCATAGAGCTGATCCGCCAGCGCGAGACGGAGGCGGCGCTGGAGTTCGCGCAGACCCAGCTGGCGGAGCAGGGCGAGGAGAGCAGGGAGTGCCTGACGGAGATGGAGCGCACTCTGGCCCTGCTGGCCTTCGATAACCCTGAGGAGTCTCCATTCGGAGACCTGCTTCACATGATGCAGAGGCAGAAGGTAAGACCGACGGGGCCTCCTTCCCCTCGGTGGGTGTTCAGGGCGGGACTCTAAAAGGCACAGCTGTAGAACGCACGGAAGCCATGTCTGGGCACGCGACACTCAGTCACGACGGCACCGATTCTCCCGTCAAGCGTCCCCTTTCCCTGTGTGAACCGGGAACTGAGCACCGTGACGTCATACACGGCATCCAGACTCTCTGTCTCAGCTTTTCTCGTTCGTCTTAATCTCCTCTTGTTTGTTTGGAGACTCTTAGAAGTGGGTGTCCGAAACATGTTTTACCTAAAATCCCCTATTTGCTTGTGAAGCTGTTTGTCTCCTTGCTGCTGCTTCTGTGTTCCAGCCCCCACGACGGTGCATTACTGCCCCAGACGCGGCCCTTTACTCCCATGGCCCTTTCCTGCCGGAAGGGAGGGCTACTCTCCAGGCCGCCGCCACGCGGGTCCTCCTGTGGCTTGTCCCGTGGACCTTGTGTCACCCCACCCTGCTCTTTCCTCCGTCCCGGTCCCCTCAAGCCTGGCTCACGGCATTTCACTGCTATCCAGGCCGGGTATGAGCCCCACCGACCGGGCCGCGAGCTCCTCCTGGGCAAGGAGTGTGTGTTTAACATCCTCTGGAGGGCCTCACGGTCATGGGCTTCGTATTCATTTGAATAAGTAACCATCTTCTCCTGTAAGAAGGTCTTAAGAAGTGTAAATGCACATTGTAACTGGTCCTACCGGCGGGCACTCTGCACGTGTGGTTGTTTTTATCCGGCGTATTTATTTTCTAGGTGTGGAGTGAAGTTAACCAAGCTGTCCTAGATTATGAAAATCGTGAGTCCACACCCAAGCTGGCAAAATTATTGAAACTACTCCTTTGGGCTCAGAATGAGCTGGACCAGAAGAAAGTAAAATACCCCAAAATGACAGACCTCAGCAAAGGTGTGATCGAGGAGCCCAAGTAGTCTGTGCCGGTGGCCCCTGTGCCCCCCCCACCCCTCCCCCCGGGACCGGACTCAGAGCAGCTGTCTGTGACTGACAGGTTACCGCAGTAGAGAACTCTTTTTTCCCCCTTTTCCTGGATTTTTTTTTTTTTTTTTCAACCTGGCATCTTTTTTAAAGGGAAGAACGGCCCTTCTGAGCGCTGGAAAACTTGCAGCGAGAGACGCGGTGTCTTTGGAAGTGTGGCGCAGACCGCGGTGGGCGCGCTGACAGCGGGGACGGGCCGCATCGGCCACCGAGCGCTCTGTAGTTCGGGAACGTTGTTGAACGGAGGCCTCCCTCGCAAACCTCTGACAAGCACTGATCATTATTTTGCTTTCTGTTAGCTCGTAGGCAGAAAATACGTTTTCTCAGATCTGCGAAGACTCGTCAGGCCTTTGTGGAGAAGGTTTCTCTTACCCCTTGGTTTTTTGTTTTTTCATAGGAAAGACTATATAAATTTGTAAATCCTAATTCAAAGACTTCTTTTGTGTGAGGGTATTGAGTTTGGTTTGTTTCTCTCTGGTCTGGGTGGTATGGCTCCTGGGGAGATGCGTGTGTGTGTGTGTGTGTGTGTGTGTGTGTGTGTGTGAGTGAGTGAGGGCTGGGGCTGTGTGTTTTTTAATTTTTTAAATCTATATTTTGGTGCTGGTTGTGGTGAGAGACTCTTTCTTAGCGGATCGGTGGACCTTCTCTTGTAGGCAGTTTTGTTGAAAATAAAGGTTTCTCTTTGATTTCGAGAATGACCACAACGGCCTCCAAAAAGTGTTACTCCTCTCAAATCTTTTGCTTTCGGAGCTCATGTCTCGGTGCCGGGACAGTGACTGATGGCAGCGGCCTGAGGGCCCATGTGCCCCTGGGAGTGGACCCCAAGGAGTGGGGTCTTGACAGCGAGTACCCCCCCTCCCCCCAGCAGTGCACACTTGCCTTGGCCGGGGGGCTTGCCCTGCAGCAGGCCGGTGTGCGTGTGAGTCCCCACGTGTCCTGCCGCCGGTGCAGTTGCTGGGACGCGGGTGCTCTGGTGACCGGGGACACGGACTCGTGTGTGTGCACTCGCTGCAGGTGCAGCTCGGCCCTGGTCCTGTAGGGCGGTGGTTAACAGAGCTGCTGGCCGACCCCGCGGGCGCAGGCTCGAGGAGGTGGAGGGGACTGTGCCCGGGGGCGCAGGGCTTCCTAGCCACGGGCGGCTCTGCACGTCCCCCTGGTGCGGGGACTCCGTCCTCCCGGTGCGGATCCCGGGCGGGGTTCGGTGCCCGGGGCTTTGTAGAGGCAGATGCCAACAGCTGCTGAACTGCGGGGAGCCGGCTTCCTTGACCAGCGAGGCTGGGCGGGCTCGTGGGTGCTTCCGTGGGTCAGGTGGTCTGCCTCTGACCGCTGGGGCCACGTCCCCCACACGCCTGCAGACCTGAGCGCGATCCTCACGTGCCGTGTGGTCAGCCGGTCCCCCCGCTTCATCTCTGCTCCCTGCTTCCACTCGGAGCCTGGGGTCGGTGGTGGGTTTTTGACCGCCTTGGGTGGTCACCAGTGCAGAGGCAAGACTGTGCATTGTGGATTCTTCCGGCCTCTGTCCACCTCGCCCTCCTGCTGCCCTCTTGGTGTCGTGAGGACGAAGGGGGGGGGGTCTCTCCTCGACACCCGAGACCGTCTCAGCAGTCTAGATGTGACCTTTCTTTAGGGCTGTTTCCTCTGAGGCTTGAGGCCGATAAGTTAGGGCCAAAGGTTTTCATCTTCAGGTAGTTCACCATTACCTGCTGCAGGAGCCGGAGAGACGAGCAGGCGGCGTATGTGCTTGGCGGGTGCCAGAGTCCAGCACGTTTCCGGTTGGCTTTCCTCGTTAGTGCACGTGAGATCGTTTGCGTGCATGACTAATACGTAATCCACCAGACACGTTCTTCAGAGTCCAGGGTGTGAGCCGTGAACCATCGGCCCGAACACTCGGGCGGCGGCCCCCGTTCGCCTATTGAGGCAGCGGGTGACGTGCGAGCCGGGCTTTGGCGAGACTCGCTCTCAGACTCGCCGCTGTTCTCTTCCCTCTGAGGCCTGGCTACGCTCGTCCCATCTGTCGGTGGACTTGGAGGCTCCGGCGGGACCGGCTTTGCAGACGCCTCCCGTGGGCCGCCGTGTGGCGGTCTGTGTCTTCGGCAAGCACGCTAAATCAAGCCATTTTGAGACCACAGACATTAAGTATAACGTGGTTTTTCTTCGTCTCGTTTGGATCTCGCTGTTGTGTTTATGAAAATGTACGTTTTATGTAGTTTATTCTCTTTATGTTTTGTGGAAAGTGCCTTGAAATAAATAAAATTTGAGAATATTCTGGTTACTCTGCATTCCTGATAGGAAGTCGTGTGAAAAATAACTGTAGTTTGGAATCTTTACGAAGCGTAGGGATTAGCGCAAATCCAATGACAACTAATATATTTTGCCATTTGAATGGAGGTTTCCAGGTTCTAGAACAGGCAAACGTTCATCGGGCCTGGTGTTTGACGCGAAAGTCTCCCTCACACGTGACTGAAGACCCCATGTGTGAGGCCTCGGGGGATGAGGAGGTGGTTACCCCCCACGCAGTCAAGATGCATCCAGAAGCCGTGTGGGGAAACGTGTTGAGGACGGTTTCTGTTAAGGTGGCGCAGTGTCCGTATTTCTCTGCGTACGATGCTGGTTTTGGGCAGTGGGGTACCAGGGCTTTCAGAAAGAACCACACACGTTTTACGTTCAGGACAACGGGGTCCTCCGGAGGACAAAGTGGGACCTGCTCTGGGAGTTACCCTGGTCCTGAGTCCGCCGTGTCCCTGCGGGCCTGTGGGCCTCCACAGCGTCCTTTGAAAAATGCAGAGTAGGGTGCTTTTGCTGCCTGTTGTTAATTTCACAGTAAAATTTGCCTTGTTTTTCTCAAGAGCGATTTCCTGAAAGGTCTTTTTAGTTTTTGCCCGTGAAGATCTACGAAGGAAAAGGACTTGGAGACGATGCCGACACGGCTGGTGGGAAGTCCATCTGCTAGCCCTGGTGGAGGGACCGGGGCCGCGTCCTTCTGCCCCCTTCTGTCCATTCCCACCAGCACTGTCTGCTTTCACAGATGTGCGTCCGTGTGTGCTGTGCGTGGACGCGGAACTCGTCTCTTGTCTAGAGATGCAGCACTCGAGTTTCACGTTTGTGAGAAAATAGATTGGGGCTGCCATCTGCGTGGTTTTAAGCTGAAAAGTTTCTTTTTTTTCTTTTTCTTTTTTTTTTTTTTACTCGCGCATGTTTCCTGATGGTCCAAGTCCAGGGACCGCTGTGGTGAGCCTGAGGCCCTTCTCCCTGTGGCACATGCCACATCCTGCAGAGGCACACATCCTGTGCTGTCAGGACCGTGAGCGCCTCGCGTGGAAGGCACTTGCGGAACATTGACAGACTTGGAGTGACAGCTTTCCAGCGCCTTCTAGCGCGTGCAGAAGGAGGGTGCTTTGATGCCGGAGCGGTGGCGTTACTGAGTGTAGCCTCACAGGTTTGTTACATTGGAGAGGGGAAAGGAACCCTCCGCCGTCACCATTCCCCATGTGACGATGGCGCCTAAACCCTTCTTCCTGCCAACGCCTGCCACCTTGCAGGTTGGTGGTGGCGTGACCGTGCAGAGCAGTGAGCGCTTGGGTTTGCACTCAAGACCACCCGGGGTGTTTGGCAAGGGCCACAGTCCCCGGCCCGGGGGGCCTGCCCGTGTGGGAGGTCGTGCCTTAATTCTGAGATGCCTTCGAGGCGCTTTTCCTGTCCTCGTGATTTGCTTACGTAGACGTAGAACACGGGTTTGCAGGGGCCTTTGGCCTCTGTGCCTGTGCAGACTGTCGGCAGTGGTGGGGTGTCCCCAGCTGCTCCGCCTTCACAGGCCGCAGGGCCCCAGCTGCGGCGGCTTCGGGCCCTCGGTGGGGGGCAGGAGGGGCAGTCTGGGCCGACCGGTCATCCCGTCCCTGCATCTGCAGGGCAGAGGTGTTTCTCGTTGCAGGGAGCCTGTGGTGGGACCAGGATTCATCTGCAGAGTTGGGAAGTCCCCCCGCCCCCCTCTGGAAGGCGGGGTCGCTGGGTCCCATCTGACCGTGATGCAGAAGGTCTGTGGGACTCCTACTCGGCTCCAACCAAAACTGGCAGCTGGAGGAGTGAGAACCGGGAGGAGTGGACTTCTCTGCACGCGCCTTCCCAGCACCTTCCTTCCGTCTGGCTGTGTTTTCGAGCAAGTCACACCGCAACCTCGTGCCCGGCTGTGGGTGTGGCACTGGCAGGAATGGTGCCGTGCGGTGCGGTACGAGTCTCCGCCTCACGTCGGGAGACTGGGGACCGGGAGACAGCGATCCCGCTGTCGCCCGCCGTGCCGGACCTCCGGACTTGCGTGCGGAGCCCTGCCTGGCTGTGCCGTCTGGCGCTCGGCGGCGCACACGGCACCACACGCTCGAGAGGGAAGCGAGCCTGGTGGTCGCCGTGGCCTCCTGGGCCGGGGGCTGCAGGGCCCGGTGGGGGGCCAGTGGAGGCACAGAGACCCAGGGCGAGGCAGGCCCTATGCAGCTCCAGACCCACGGGCCCGGCGAGTCCTCGGTCTCGAGCGTCTAGCTGTGTTTTTAGCGTGAATCACGTGCGGAACAGCAGCGCGTGCGTTGAAGACGTGGATGGTGAGCCCACCAGCACGTTGAAGAATGAGCCGCTCCGGAACTTGGAAGAATCCCGCTGTAGAACCTACGCTGCATTAAATTCATTTATTATCCGAAATTCATTTTTGTGGTTTCTGGTCATGTTGTGCACACTTGTTTGTCCTTGGGTCCTTCTAACATTTAGGTTGGTAATTGGGTGCAAAAGACAGACTCCTCCCTTCAATAGCTGGTGTGAAGCTGGGGGGAGGGGAAAGAGGTGATGGGGGGGGCACCGCACCAGGGAGACACCCCCCCCCCCC